GAGACACAGCAGCCCTGTTACCAAACATCCGGTAGATAAGATCAGACGATATTGGATGAGCCTAAAAAAAAGGAACATTCGGAGATTATGGAAGTAATTAAGTTTGGTATATCCTCCATTATATGGCTTCTTAACCTATCGATAAATAGTGTATATATAACGTTTGACGGTAAGTTGTATGAACAAAGGGAAGAACAAGCAAAGGGTTCCTGCCTAACTACAAGTTGGTGAATAACTACATGACAAAGCTCGAGGAGCACTTAACCCAAAAGACTCATGAATTATTTGCTAGATATATGGATAATTATTTTGTGATCTTGCAGCATGGTAAGGACAGCTTCCTATTTTCACATAACCAGTGTGAAAGAAGTATTAAATTCACAATGGAATTAGAGGAAAAGAAGAAATTACTCTTTTTGGATGTGACGATTGTTATTGGAAGATGGTAAGTTAGGCAGAGATGTTAGACGGAAACAAGATACACGCTAGTTTTGTTCTTAATTCTTTTTATAACAATAGTTACATAACTTGGGGTGGAATTTTAAAACCTATGATCGTTAGGAGTATGAGGCTTGCAGATGAAAATTATTTGACAAAAGAGTCAAGAAGACAAAAAGTTTTATTCCTGTATAATAATTATCATTTGGGCTTAATTGATAATAATATCTCTTTAATAAACTATAAATTTTGAAGGGGAGACTATTGGGTCAGAGATAGGCAGGCCAAGACACTTTCTGCTTGCTTTGAAATCTTGAACCACAACGTTTGTACGCTGGCATACAAGATACTAGAGCATAACAAGTCATAGACTTGGTATTACGAATAGAAACACGATAGACGCGGCGGAGACTAGAGCTAGTTGGCTGACAGTAGGCCTGTTTTACCATAGACGTGGTCCATGTAGCAAAGGCTTGATCATGAAACTTACTTAGAAGCTTTAGCCCCCAGTTAGTCTTCCAGACTCAGGTGATGGGCCATAAGGCCTAGAGTAGCACAGATGGGATGGCAGGGGTCGAGTGAAATACTTGAACCAAGGAGATAGCAGACGGATCCTACGGGGCAATAGGGAGACTCCGATAAGACCTATGGAAGGAAGACTGCGTAACAATATAGCAGACC